TCCAGCACATTAACCTGTAGCACTACACCAGGACGTGTTTACAAGTGTTGTTGTTGTTGTTAAGTACCATGGAGTCGGTTCCGACTCATAGTGACCCTGCACAGGGTCTCCGAGGCTGTAAATCTTTACAGGAGCAGGACGCCTCATCTTTCTCCTGTGGAACCGCTGGTAGTTTTGCACTGCCAACATTCACCTTAGCAGCCCGATTCGTAACCACTACGCTACCAGAGTTGATGAGGCTTTAAATCTTCACAGGAGCAGAAAGTCTCATCTCTTCTCTCTTGGAATGGATGACAGGCTCGAACTTCAGACCTTGTGGATTGCAGTCCAATGCTTATTGCTCCCTAATAAACCATAGTAGTATAAATTTAAGAGCTGTTTAAGATCATTGGATATTAAATATGAATATTTAGAAGTGTAACTGTGTAGTGTCACTATGAGTTGGAACCAACTCCATGGCACATAACAAAAACAACTGTAGGAAAAGTTACAACTGAAAGTGTAGTTGTTTACTGTTTTTATAATTCAGGGAATTCACCACTATGGGGGTGGGGAGAAGATGTGAGTAAGGGAGAGTGAAGGATTAACTCTGCACCTAAAGAAAGTATTTTGGTAAATGTTCTTTCCTTCAATTTAAGTGAAATTATAAAAGGAACTCAAGTTGAATATAAAGAAAAATGTGCATCTGGACAAGTGTGTTGTCTTCCCCTAAATCATTTGTGTTAGGTAGAAATGGGAACAGAATTTATGGGGGAAATGATCGATCCTCAGTCAGAATACTAGACCTAGAGGAAAGGGAAAATGTTTAAGCTTCTATTTTGTGTCAGACCTGTTTCAACTATTTTGTCATTTCGTGTTCATCACATTTCTGTCAGGCAGTTATTCCTATCCCCATGTTTTGTAGTTGACAGTACCAGAGCTTGGTAGCGTTGACTCAACAGTGAATCACTTTCTAAGAGGACACACGTACTAAGTGTTGGACCTGGAATTGAGAACTGTCTGACTCTAGAGCTCAGCTAGCTTCTGAACAGCTATCTATGGAACACCGGCCTTCCATCACTGTGAGACCTCTGTCCTACCTTTACTGAAACTTTTCTCCAGGTATCACTTTGTAAAGCCATAAGTTACAGGTTCTAGAAGCTTACTTGCTTTTCCTTACAACTAGAAGAAATTCACAACATTAAGAGAAGTGTTATTTCTTGAAAAATATGGATTATCCTTATCTCCTTCTTGTTTCATTTAAAATTTTTATTTTTCATTTTTGTGTTTGAAAAGTTTCTATAGCACATCCTCATTAAATGTTAAGATGTTTTGCAAAGTTAGATGAATTCTAGATGAAGAGAATCCAGGCAGTTACAATTGGCAGATGGTGGGCTAACACAAGGTATTTGGATTCCTTTTAGTCTGATTACTGTGGCAGAGTGGAGAATACAATGGTGATTGCTAGTTTATTCAGAATTCTAAACATTGGTTTTATTTTTGAAATTAGTTTATAATTTTAGGATCACCAGTTGAAAAAGATCCAAGCTGTAGTTAATGAATTTGATTGAATAAATATTGTGTTTTCTTTTAGGATTTGTTTGGTGTAAGCATGGTTGTTCCTTTATTAAGCCTTCATGTCAAGTCTCTTGGAGCAAGTCCAACAGTAGCTGGAATAGTAGGTAAGGGATAAATGTTGTTTCTTGGCAGAGCGCTGAACTTAAAAATTTTTGAACTAAGTCCTTGAAAACAAATCAGTCTTTCAACTAAATATTAGATAAAAGAAATAGGAAATGGGATAAAATGAATTTTTAAAATACCACCTAGGAGCAAAAGAATTCATCTTTTCTTAGATCACCTTACTTAAAGGGTACCTAAGCCATTTGAACTGCAAGATCGGCGTTTCAAGCTCACCAGCTGCTCCTCTGAAACCCAATACAGAGTCACTATGGGTTGGAATCGACTCGACGGCACTTCACAACAACAACTACTAAAGAGTACTGGTATAGCACTGTAGGATAAGCACTAGACTGTTAACCTCAAGGACAGCAGTTCAAACTCACCACTTGCTCCTCAGAAACCCTATACAGGGTCACTATGAGTTGAAACTGACTTGAGGGCACTAAACAACAACAAAGGTTTGAGCACTATCCCCCAAGTCGGTACCACCAGTCACACAGCAGGTATTTAGTGAACTGCTGCAAGGAGCTGGCTGTTACAGGATGGGAAGGGTTTCCTGCCTGTGGGAACCTGGAATCTAAAGTGAGTAGACCAGAGACATGTAACCTACAGAAATTTTATTTTGAGGGAAAGATTGGTTAAGCCTTAGCAAATCCATTGGACGTTTCAGCACTAGCAACATGTTTAAGAGGGCTGGGCTGTAGGGCTTTTTTCTATGCAGCATAAACATTCCCTCAGGAAGGCACTGATTTAAGTAAAAGGCAGGATGGACTCAGCAGGGCTTGAGTCAAACATGCTAACAAAGGCATTTTTGAATTAATGAAAATTTAATTTGAAGAGAAATACAAGATCAACAGCCCTTGCCTCTTTGATAAACTAGATAATCTAATGTTTTGGGGTACTTTTGGATCTCATGTTTGTTAAGTCCTCGTTCGTGCCGTGATTTTTTGCCCCTAGCAAAGGGTACTTGGCATTATACTACATAAAGACTTTAATGAATAACAAAATGGACATATTACATGATACAATGGCAGTAAAACCTTGGGAGTTCTTTTTTAAACTAAAGCATTTTATAAAACTATCAAAATGTTAGAGACTTATAAACTCTTGTTGTTAAGTGCCATCAAGTCGGTTCTGACTCATAGCAATTCAGTATAGGGTTTCCAAGGTGTGGTGGTTGTTAAGTGCCATTGAGTTGGTTCCGACTCATAGTGCCTTGTGTAGGGCTTCTGAGGAGCAGCTGGTGGGTTTGAACTTCCGACCTTGTAGTTCACAGTCCAGTACTGATCCTATAGCGCCATACCAAGGTAGGGTTTAGTGGGTTTGAATTGCCAACCTTGCTGTTAGCAGTCCAGGGCTTGTTCTATAGCGTTGTTGTTGTTGTTAAGTGCTGTCGAGTTGGTTCCAACCCATGTTGTTGTTGTTATGTGCTGTGAAGTCGGTTCCGACTCATAGTGACCCTATACAGGGTTTCCGAGTCTGTAAATCTGACCCATAGCGACCCTGTATAGGGTTTCCGAGGAGCATCTGGTGAGCTTGAACTGCCGACCTTACAGTTCAAAAGGCTTTTCAGTTTTGCACATTTACATACAGTGCTACACCAGGACTCCTCTATAGCATTGTAGTTGTTGTTGTTATGTGCCGTGGAGTCGGTTCCAACTCATAGCAACCCTGTATAGGGTTTCTGGGTAGATCTTTACAGGAGCAGAAAGCCTCACCTTTCTCCTGCGGAGCAGCTGGTAGTGTCGAACTGCTAACCTTGTGGTCCGCAGCCCAATTCGTAACCACTACGCTATCAGACTTCCTTTCTATAGCGTTAGAGATATATAAAATGCTACAATTTTCAGAATCAGTAGAATCTTAGAGACATATTAAATGTTAGAGACATAAAATACTACAATTTTAAGACAGCAGAATTTTTCTACAATTGCAATAATATGCAATATGAATTTTCAGGTTTCTCTTACTTTCCATTCACTTTTAAGAACCAGAGCTACACAGTTCCTACCTAGAACCAGAATTGCATAATTCTTACATGGTGAAAAAAAGAGTCTCTCTTAGGGTCCCTAACATCAGCCCTTGCGTTTGTTTTTTGTTCTGTATTTCACTGATTATCCTGTATTTTATTCTGCTTATCATCTATTACATGACTTACACTCTTCTTAAGGAGCTCTGGTAGCGTAGTGGTTTCGAATCGGGCTGCTACCCTCTGGGTCAGCAGTTCGAAACTACCAGCTGTTCCACGGGAGACTCCACAGCACATTACGACCATACTCTTCTTGCTAGAAAAAAGAAATTTAAAAAAAAAATTGTGTAACTACTTAGTTTATGAATGTTTCCCTATTTCTTTCTGTATAATTGTTACCGCATTAGTCCATCCCTATGATAGGTCTAGCTGATTTTATGTTCTTGATGTTTTCACAGGCTCAACCTATGGCATTTTGCAACTCTTTTCTAGCACATTAGTGGTAAGTTATCTTTCATCTGGAACACATCTTGAAAGCAGAGTTGTAGTCTCTGATGGCCATTAATCATTCAAATTTGGGTGCTTGAGGTTTACTAAAACATAGACTCAAAGCAGAATTTTGAGCACTGTTAGTTCAGGAAGGATCCTTGAATCATTAACCCCCCTAATCTGACATGTGTGAAGGCTTCTGTCTAAAGAGCCGCCATGGCTTGTTCTGAATAGAACACGTTAAATTAGTGATAGATTTGGGAGTACAACCCATTTTTTTTATATTGCAACATGTTGTTTCCCTTAATTCCCTGGTAACTTTTACTAAAATGAAAGAATCTAAGTGAGATTACAATGTCTGTTATTTATTCGCATTTCTAGGATATTATTTGAAGTCGTTCATTTTGCAAAGTATGTTTCATTAGTTAGAAAACTGAAGTGTAGTGCACAAGAAGCTATCTGTGGGTGTAACAATAATTGGCACCAGCCATTCCTCCCACAATCCTCTCTACTCCAGTGGTTTCAGTAACCTGTTGCAGTGGCTACAGAACTCAGACGTCGTACTTGGAGTTTGGGGATTTATTAGGGAAGTTAACTGGCTACAATTTGGGGTCAGAAATGCTCAGGACACAAATATCTCAGTCAGCTGCTGATAAATGCCATTAGAACACACCATTCCATTATAAGCCTCAGCCTGAAGGCACTTGGCTTTTGCTCCATAAGTCAGCAAACCTGGCTCCCCAACTTAAGTGCATGAAAGCACCCCACTCTACAAGCAAGCTTCCTGCCTGAAGTCACTCAGCTGTACTTGCTCCGAGGACTGGGAAGTCTGCTGTTTTACTGCCGTTCCTCTGCCACGCTTCCGGTGTCACAGCTTTCTGTCCCTGGTCTAGGAGACTCAGTGCACAGGAACTTCAGGACCCAAATGGTGGGTTCCATTCCTGGCTCTTCCATGATGGGAGTGAAATACCCCCTCCTGCTGCTGAGATGGCTCATTTTAAACCCATGCTCGAGGTTCAAGTTTTTACAGTGACCTTTGTTAAAATCATATCATCCTATCAGTATCTTCTCCCACCTTCTTCCCCCAGAACCTGATGGGAGTTACAGACTATGGCTAGAAGAGAGCTTAGATAGTTCACGATGCCACAATGAGCAAGCAGTATGCAGTGCAAAGGCCCAGAAGGGATCTTATCTTGTCATGCTTCTGCTTCAAACCTCTTACTTCAAATTCTCCTTGATTGATTAATACTCCTTCTCATACACTTTACTATTGCCACCCTGGTCTTGGAAGATCTTGGAGGTTTAGCTATGCAGTAAGCTTCCAACAGATTGGTTACTAGCTGAGCATATTGACTATTTGTATCGCCCAGACACTTCCAAATAAATAAATAGCTACTCACTAATTTATGGTTCAGGAGTGCTGTTGCTCTGTAGGATAAGCACCGTACTGCTAACCACATGGTTGGTAGTTTGAGCCCACTAGCTACTCTTTGGGAAAAATATGAGACTTTCTGCTCTCTCGAAGATTAGCAGCCTTGGAAACCCTATGTAGGGTCACTATGAGTAAGCATCAACTCAATGGCACTTCACAACATAAATGTATCTTCTGGGTAAAAAATATAAAATCTTCATTATGTTAAATGTGTATAATAACAATTGCAATAGTACTTTCATTAATTTGATGTTAACAAGAACCCAGGAAAGTAGATTGGTATCTATGTTTTATATCAGAGGAAATTAAGACTGAAAGAGTTTAAATACTTGGACCAAATTACATAATCCAGGTATCTAGACTCTGTTGTTAAGTGCTATTGAGCCAGTACCGACTCATAGCAACCCTGTTATTAGGGTTTCCTGATCTTTCCTAAAAGACATTTGTTTCTGCCTCAATGAACTTGTTGTTGTTGTTATGTGCTGTGGAGTCAGTTCTGACTCATAGTGACCCTGCACAGGATTTTCAAGGCTATAAATCTTTACGGGAGCAGAAAGCCTCATCTTTCTCCTGCGGAACAACTGGTAATTTCGAACTGCCAACCTTGAAGGTTAGCAGCCCGATTCATAAGCACGATGCTACCAGAGCTAAATAGATAAAAGCACTATAAGCTTTCACAGAAGAGTAACGTAATTTCTTGTAGTTTTTTTTGTTAAGTGCTGTTGAGTTGGTTCCAACTTAGACTGATGCTGTATAGGGTTTCTGAGAAGCAACTGGAGGGTGTGAACAGCCAACCTGGTAGATTGAAGTCCAGTGTATAGAGTTTCCAAGGAGTGAGTGGTGAGTTTGAACCTTGTAGTTCAAACCGACCTTGCGATCCAGTGCTTTATTCCATAGGTATGTAATTATGTGTATACACTACTTGTGTGTGTGTGTGTTTTATATATAAATTATGTATTTTAGACCAGTTAAGTCACAATGAGTTCCTGTGTGTACTCTGACCTCCTTTACCATGGTGGTGATGGTAGGTATTTGCCATTGAGTCCGTTCCTATTTGTAGAGATACCCCACATAGTGCTTCTGAGGCTATGAATCTTTATGGAGCAGAGAGCCTCATCTTTCTCCAGTCTCTTTACAATAGGGATCATTTCTTTATTTTATTTTTATCACTAGTAATTACTAGAGCACCTGGCTCATAGTTAGCATTTTATGATGCAAATTACTATTGCTCAATATGCCCCTGCCTTCTCTTTCAAATGGACCCTTTGTTTTGTTATGAATCTGCTTTTGAAACACATTTCTTATATTTTATAGATATCATTTAATGAGAACCTCCCTTTAGAAAGCCTTCAGATAGAGAAATACCTAATTAAAATTCCTTCTTTAGCCAATATTTTTATAAGTACATATTTTAATTATAAGTTGTGTAAAAACATTAATTTTTAAGGACACAATTTATGAGATGCGTCATCTCAGATTTGACTGATATGTTACATGTTGTTGTTGTTGTTAAGTGCCGTGGAGTCGGTTCCGACTCATAGTGACCCTGCACAGGGTTTCCGAGGCTGTAAATCTTTACGGGAGCAGAACGCCTCATCTTTCTCCCGCGGAACCGCTGGTAGTTTCGAACTGCTGACCTTGCGGTTCACAGCCCAATTCGTAACCACTATGCTACCAGAGCTCCTTTATATATGTAGTGTAATTAAAAATGATTTTTATGTTATATGTAGTGTAATAAAAATAACAAATATCTCTTACAGTGTCCCTGGCCCAATCCAAGCACTACATTGCACTCACTCCTCACAACCAGCAGCCTCAGAGGATAGTTGTGTGTCTTTAATAGTCATCTTGTGAAAGCCCATAGTGAGTATTGGTGGAGGCAAGTAACCGCTGGGCCATATACTGTTGTTATTTTACAGATAGAGAAACTTAGACATGATATTAAGTAGTATGTGTGAGACCATAGAGTGGGAAATAATAGAGTTCAGAATTGTGCCCAGGCAACCCAACCCAGAGCGTAACTACTAGAATATGTTAAAACTCTATGAATACAAGGAGGCCAATGACCCCTTGTTGTTGTTATGTCCCCTCAAGTTGATTCCAACTCATAGTGACCCTATGTAAAACAACAAAACACCGTACAGTTCTGCACCATTCTAACAATTGCTACTACGCTTGAGCCCATTGCTGATGTCACTGTGCTAATCCATCTCATATGGGATCTCCCTATAATTCTCTCTCTGTTTTACCAAGCATGATGTCCTTGTCCAGGGACTGGTCCCTCCTGATCATATGTCTGAAGTATGAGGGACAAAATCTCACCATCCTAGCTACTAGGAAGAAATCTGGCTGTACTTCTTTCAACAAAGATTTGTTTGTTCTTCTAGCAGTCCATAATACTTTAAATATTCTTTTTCAACACTATAACTCAAATGCATCAACTCTTCTATGGTCTTCCTTATTCATTGTTCAACCTTCACATGCATATGAAACTATGGAAAATACCATGTCTGTGTCAAACTGACATCTTTGCTCTTGATCATTTTAAAGAAGTCTTGTGCAGCAGATTTGCCTAATGCAATGTCATTTGATTTCTTGACTGCTTCTTCCATGAGTGTTAACTTCAAGCAAAATGAAGTCTTTGACAGCTTCAATTTTGTATCCATTCATCATGATGTTATACAGTGATAAAAGTTTTGAGTAATTTTGTTTCCTTTGCATTGAGGTACGATTCATACTGAAGGCTTTTAATTTTTGATCTTCATTAGTTAGTGTCTTAGGCTGGGTTTTTTTAGAGAAGCAAAACCAGGGAAACACACACACACATATATGCTGATTATCAAGGAAATGACTTATCGTTGCTAAAACCCAGGTCCCCAGCAGAAGAGCTAGAGAGAACTTTCCATGTATATCCATTATATGGGGGCAGGCCACATCCCAAGGAAACATCATCATAGAGTTAACTATGTGTGTATTTGGTTCCTAACTGTGGGAATAGCACACCTCAACTGCTAAACCATGGGAATCCTGACCTAGTCAACTTGGCACAGAACCCTATTACATTCCAGCCCTGTCAACTTGACACCTGTAAACTCTATGCATAATCTCTAAGTAAAGAATATTGAAGTTATATTTGTGCCTACCATGATAAAACTGAAACACAACCGAAAACTTGTTGACCCCATTTGTATCTCATATGTCACAAATGAACAAAGCAAAAATATTTGACGTACATATATAAAACAAAACAAATAATATATATTCATTTATATGTCTCAAGGGTGCATTCTGCCAGCCATCGTCCTGCCTACAGGTGCACAGCCTTGCTCAGTACATGGCCCTGGAGGCCATAGCTGCTCTGTCTTTCCATGAGACTGCCCCTTCTGCTGTCTCTACTGTCACCACTTTTCCAGACAGGGATCCCATGCCCCCCACTCATGCTCTGCCTTAATGATGGTCCTGGGATCCTCTGTTCCTGAAATGAAAGAGAAGGACTTCTTCCTTTTAGTTATGCATCTTTTATAAGTACAGTTGTGGCAATCACAATTAATTCTACTAACAGTTACAATTGAAATAATAAA